AACATGTGACATATGGAGATTAATCCATATTAAAACACATTTGATGCAATAACACACAACACAGTCGAAAGTTTATTAATCTGTAACTTTTTCACACTTTTACAGCGTTTGAGATTTGCTTAGGTTGAATCTTTAATTTAAAGCGATGAAGTGAATAGGCGAAATTCTTCAATACCAAAATGACTGTTAACAAATGCTTCGCTTATCCAGCTGGGTTGCGAGCCGTGTGCTAGCATGGGACAAAGAACGACTGGGGAGCACTGGCTTTGGGGCAGGGCATGGGGGCAAGTAGTTTGAGTTGAAAGTGCGGGGCGGGGGGGGTGTCGCGGTGGGTTGGTGAGTTGGGGGCGGGGTGCGGGTGACGGGAGGGGGTGGCGGGTTTGCCTGCGGGCGGTGCGTGGGGGCAGGATTTCTGATGATGGGGTCTGCGGTTGCGGGGGCAGTGGCGCGACATGTGGCGGTAGGAAGCACGGAAAGCGTAGGAGGCGCGGGACTACCGGGTGGTCTCGAAGTGGGAACACAGGTGTGAATGGAGGGGCGAGGGGGGCCAGTTAGCGGGGGCGGCGAGTGTGTAGGAGGTCGGGATGGGGCGGGGAACGACGGGCTGTCTCCAGGAGGCAAAGCAAGCGGGGAAGTGGGTCGTGGGCGGGGGGGTGGGATGGGGCGAGCGTCTGGTGGTCAGAGCGGGGAACGGCGACGGCTGTCTCGTGAGCGCGAGCAGCGGGGAAGTGGGCTGGGCGGGGTGGGATGGAGGGGCGGCGTGCGGTGGTCGGAGCGGGAACGGCGGGCCGTTGTCTCGTGAGCGCGAGCAGCGGGGGGAAGTGGCGTGGGCGGTGGTGGGATGTGAAGCGGCGGCGTGCGGGTGGTCGGAGCGGGGAAAGGCGGGTGTCTCCGTGAGCGCGAGCAGCGAGTGGGAAGTATGCGTGGGCGGGGGTGGGATGGAGGGCGCGTGCGGTGGTCGGGAGCCGCGTGGTAGCGTGTGGGAACGGCCGGGTGTTCGTGAGCTCGAGCAGTGGGCGAAGTGCGTGGCGGGGGTTGGATGGAGGGGAGGCGTGTGGTGGATGGACGGCGCGTGCGGTTGGTCGGAGCGGGGTGGAAAGCGGGGATCGGCGGGCAGTTCTCGGGAGGGGCCCGCGAGGCAGCGGGGCGGGGATGGGCGTGGCGGGGTGGGCGAGGAGGCAAGGCGCAGTGACGGGGGCGGGGCGGGCACCGGCGTTTTTTGCGGGCGGCGGTGGCGTCGGCGGCGGCGCAGGGCTGCCGCGCACATGTGGCCGGAAGGTCAGGAGCGGCCGCGCGGGGCCTGCTTCTGTCATCTGCGCGCCCGACGCCCTCGCCGCCGCCGCCGCCTCCGCCTCCGCCAGCGACGAGCACAGTAGGGCCTGTGAGGACGGCGCTTGGTACTCGCCCACGGAGCGCGCCCCGCCTCAGCGAATTCGAATTGCAGGCACGAATTTGCACACAGTACTCTAACGACCTCTCTCAAGACATTAGTGGTCAACTGGTTAGCATGGAACTAAAGTGGTCAATGGCACGAATCGTAATGTCACTTACATCACTTACGAATTGACTAACATTAAAACAATCTGGCAATACTAAAGTGGTACTTCTATTACGTCGCATCTGCAACGTAAAATGACGCGTAGATGCTCAACTGTTCATATCAAATTTACCATAATCTGAATTTTAGCGGGTTAGCTTTTTATTGACCACTTTAGTTCCGGGCTATTTAATTCTAGAATGGGAATTTTTATAAAGAAACTCATATTATTTATAAATTTCCTATTTTTTAGTTAAATAAATGAATGTAATGCTACAGCGTTTCATCTACGATTATAGTGCACCTAGAGGAATTAATTAAATGTTTGAATGTGCAGAGTAAGTTATTTATAAATCTAAAATAATAATAATAATAATAATAATAATAATAATAATAATGAAACTCATACAAATAAATATAGTTGACTCCTTGCGAACATGTGTTTTAAACATTATTCGAGATTATGATGAATATTATGGTGGGTTTAAACAGCATGTTAGCAATTCAGTTACAAGATAGCACAATTAAGTTTGCCGTTACAAGTACACTAGTTTCACGGTCTCCAAGTGCATAGGTTACGGGCTCCAAGTAAGATATGCTTTATAAGTGACAAACATAGTTTTCAAAATACCTGCATAACTTACCTCTCAATCAACACAGTAAGGCGAGAACCTCCTCTTGATCATCAATTCTTAGGAATTCACGGATTTATTTGATTTGAACGATGCATTTGCTGTGTTGGTTGATTTGAGTTTCAGATTTTCTTCTATGTGTATAAAACACTCAAATCAACTTTCATTGGTTTAGAGCTCCCTCCTTGATATGAACTATTAGAATTGTAGTTTGTACTACACAATCTCATAAATACTCACTTACCGTTGGAATATTTAGTACATCTTGGTTAAAACGCTAAAAACATGTTTTTAACATTCAGAGATTTATATAGACATTTCAAATAATTTTGAAGAAAATAAAAACGTTTTTACTACTTCTTTTCCCATAAATCACACGGGTCTACGTCTTTCCTTCCACTAACACCCAAACTACAAACACCGAAACTTTAAAACTAGCATATTAGCATTTCAATCCTTCACCAGATAAAATTTTAATTTCATTTTCATTCTTCAGTCTCATATCACTTCTTTCATTTTCATTCTTTTGCTCGAAAGAGATAAGTCATTCTTTATCTCTTTTCAGCAAAAATCAACTATTCTCCGACATTTGCGATAAAGCTGATTAATTGTGAACCTCCTTAAAATGGGAATTAATAGCTGGCATTATTGTCAACTGACCCTTGCTTCAGTTTGTCGTTTATTATTATTATTATTATTATTATTATTATTATTATTATTATTTATTCTTCATTTTTACTGGTCGGCATGTCAACCACTCGCAGGAATGATGACCAGATGAGCGGTTGCTTTATTAAAGACTCAGGTGGCTTCTAACCAATATGGCATGTATTCAAGATAACTGCTTTCTGTATACTGTATGTACTCCTGGCATACACACCTGACAAGATACTCTAGTGCTCAAAATGTCATTTTCGGGATCATTCCTGTGTCTGATATTATTATTGGAACAGTTGTCACTTTTTGTTGTTGTTGATGTTGTTATTATTAGTAGTAGTAGTAGTATTATTGTAACTGTTATTAAGGTGTTGGTCTTGAAAGGAAAAAAAATATACAATTTCGTGCACATTGCACGCACGAAAAAAAGAAGCTTTGTGGAGTCTCGTAGTAATTCTTTCCAAGGGGAATCGCGAACATTCATTCAAGTCACAGTCCCCCAGAGAGAATAAGTAGGAAGTCTCGCGAGCGGGGCGTGCGGCCAGGCGTACCGCAGGGACATCCTGCGCGCCAGCGCGGTTGCGTCGGCGGCGCCCCCGGCGGCGATAGCGCGAAGTGAGTCAGCGCGGGGGGCGGGGCGGGGGCGGGGGCGGACAGAGAGCGCACACAAGCGGGGCGCGTGCACATCACAGACGACGCTGAAAGCGCCGCGTCGCCGGTGCGTGGACTGCAGACGCAGCGGCGCTTCAGTCGGCCCCGCCTCCGCGCCCCGAAACGCTTTCGGAAGGCAGAGATAAGACACGCTGAGGTGGCGGGGTCTCCGCCAGGGTCGCTAGTCACTGCTGCTTCCATTGCTGTATATACAATAACTTGGTTTGAGCCTGTCGTTCACGCGGATGAATTGCCTAATAAACAACGAGCTAGAATATACCACGAAGAGTGGCTGACTCTATGGATTTAGCGCTCTTGGTGGACGCTGACGAACCATGTTTTTTGCAGTCAAACATGAGAAGTACCTGATGGTGGCGTATAGAACTGTTGTACTGAATCGACATGTAGTTTGTATAAGATCTTATTTCTATATTGCTGTATTTTGGTTTGTATTATGCTATTGGAGAAAAGAATGTTAGAATGTTAGAATATGCCTTCAGTATATGTTCGACATGTAACTGTAAAACTATAAGTCATAAAACCACAAATATATAATTTTTCAAGTTTGCTGCCTTATTTGTGATCTATTTGTTTGCTTCTTATTGCAACAACATTCAATTTTAGTCGTTATGCTAACTACAAAAACATTTCAACAGCTTCCATTATTATAACACTGACTGATGCAGGAAGCAACGGGTTTTTAGAGTTTTTTCCAATTAATTCTCCTTACATAGTGTGATTTCGTTTTTGATTGATTGGTTTCGGTCGTGGAACACAGACTAAGAGGATTTATATTACGCGCGGTCCGAGCCCACCCGAGCCCACCAGCGTCTTATGGAAACTAGATTACACTGTTTCTCCAGAGGGCGCTGCATTGACTGCAAAAAATATGGCTTCAATTTGCAGAAAAGATGACGACGCTTCAGCCACTCTGTGTGGTCTATTCTAGCTCGTTGCTAGTAATGACGTCGGTACAATGTAGTGATTATGTGATTTATTTGATTATTGTGTAATTAATGTAATTTTTGTAAGCCGAAGGAAAACTAACTTTTTGTAAATTCAGTCAGTTTTCTGGATACGCTTCTTGCAGCTTCCTCTGCAAATATTGAAGTTATAAGAACATTCTTTTTACAGCGTTAGGATTATTGTTTTGGGGGATATTCTAACTTCTTTGTTTTGGGTAGTTGAAATAAGGGTCTGAATGATGTTGGCCTGACTCCTTCAATTTGACTTCATTGCTGAGCACCCTGGGTTCAATTCACAATATTTTGCAATTACGCCGCCCCATATACTAACGATTCATTGGTTATGGGCGTGGATAGGTGACAATTTCGTTTATAAATTAGGTTTACGGACGTAGTTGTATTTCTTGCCTGGAGAATCTTTATATGAAATTTACTTTTATTTTACGCCAATGGGAACAGGATTGTTGTGGGAATATGTTTGGATGTAATTTCTGCCATGATAGCTTGTAGGAAAACATTTGTATTATTTCTATATTCATAAAAAAACTATTAAATATGCTTTTGTGCTTTTTTATTTCAACTCATGTAATTAGTTTCTTTTTTAATGTAAAATAATTCGTAACTCGTTATCAAAATGTGAAATATTATCGATATCACATTTTATCATCAGTTTTCGAATAATTAAAGAACATTGTTGGGTATTTAATTATAAATAGTGGATGTCGGGGCTATGACATCTTAGTGACAAAAAACATAACTTCAGGAAAAATGACAAAAGCTATCTTTTACTACAATTCTGTAGTAAGCAATGGCAACAACTTTTTATGCTGATTATAGCAAAAGGAAGTGACAAGATACATAGGTTTTGTAACTCTTCATCTGCGTTGGCATTTTGAGAATAAAATTTGATAATTTATATTGTTGGCACAAATAGCTTAGTCCCCCATTCTAAAATTCTTCAAAGATACATTTTCCTTTCTTTTTGCTGAGGAATTGCGGCATTACAAGTGTTTATCAAAATATTTTATCCCAATTGTTCTATTTATCGTCCAACTTATTGTGTGTGAATGATACATGATTGTTAAATATTATATATTATATTTTTATATATTAAACGCTAATTTTATATACATACATTATGATTATTCACACATTAGTAAAAATTACTTCTCTGTTTCACCAACGCACCCAATTGGGGCACTTCAGTTTCTGAAGCAAAGGTACGTGCAATTCGATTCGGTGCTCAGTGCGCGAGCACTGACCAAAATATGAAGGTGTTGGGACGACATAACCTTAAAGCGAACCCGCGTCTATGCTACATTATACAATCCGTTAGTCAATTAGTAGTTTTGTATTTTTAGTGTGTGTACTACGTGCTACGTTTATCTTCTCTTCAATAAGGAACTGATTTAGAACGTAGCTCACACAACTATCTAATACATATAATGCAAGCATTTTTTCAATTACAAATACAAATGCGAATATTATATGTACAAAATGGCACAAAATAACATTAATTCTTTTCACTTTACATATTAGTGTGTCGTGTTATTTTTCTCCAAGTAAACAAGCACTATACTTTCGTTACGTCGTCCCAAACCTCACATCATCGCTAGTTTGCATTTCACTACATGATGTACAAATATAATACAAAATAATTAAAAACATTCACATACACTGGACAGTCACAAGTCTCTACACTTCCACCTCCTACAACACACCCACTTCAACAAGTTCCAACAGCTACCATTCCCACCTGCTCTGTCTCAAGACGGGTGCGCAAGAAACGTTTTGGATCTTCGGAGAAGTGACTTGTAGTTGCCGAGGCAGGGTTGCATGCGAGAAGGGGTTTTTCCTAGGCCGGCGGTCGCAGCAGCAGAAGTGCCAGCAGCAGCGGGGCGAGGAGAAGTGTCGGAGCAAGGAGAGCCCCTCGAGGGCCTCGGTTGTAGTAGCCTCCTCGCACTTGGAGCCCAGCTGTCTCCAGACTCGTGCGGCAGTAGTCACCATCTGCAACACACAGCATTAGGCTAATCAGATTGAAAAAGCCTCCTTTTTTTAAAATTAAATTTTATTTCACATTGGCAAACAGTAAAATGTTCAGCCTTGAGGCTCTTCAGTTGATTGACCGAGTTACTTTTTTAAAAATGTTATTATTATTATTATTATTATTATTATTATTATTATTATTATTATTATTTTGAATTTGTATTTTACTTTTATTCATTTTTCAACCATTTATAGTTAAAGTGATGGGAAGGAATTCTGAAACTCAAGAAAACGTGCGTAGATTATATTCTCCCCCATACGTCACATACAGTTTTTTTACTGTTTTTTGACTAAATAAATCCAAATCTAAATCTTTGTATCAGCAAAGTGTGAAGATGGTAACTTCTTGTCCCCTCCCTATTAGTGATTTCATTATGTTATGTCTTCATTAGGTTACTGAGAGGAAAGTCTTTAAACATGCGTTAGAGGACGATGACAGGGTTAAGAAAGGAATGAGATGGGAGAGACAGCTAAATGCAAGAAATGGGAAGCCACGTATCTTGTGATATCGTGGTGTTCCTCTCACATTGAACCGACGCCGATCTACACGTCATTTTGCGTTTCATCCCTCCAACAAACTCACTCAGCAGGAAGATTGGAACCGTCCCAGCCGGGGCAACCTCTGCATTCCCCACTGTTCGCCCGACAAGTGTGATCACGGTATATATATTTATCTAGTTAATTTTTGAGAAATGTAACCGAAAGAATGTGATAAACAGATAATGCAAAACAAAATATGTTTGCTGCCATATTTTATAGCTCGTAACAAAAGAAACGAAGTGTTACAAGACCAAAACGTCAGAGGAGAGGTCAAAATTGAAAAAAAGCACGTGTCAAGTCAATGGCCTACTGCTTGAAGAAAGAGAAGTAATTAGCTTTAGATCGCGGAAGTCGTAAAAATGGTGGGACCTACAATGATAACGACCCTTTGAGAAGGTGGTTGAAACTGTTTAAATTACAACTGGTGATCTTCTGAGAAAATCTATTTAATTTTTAAAAGAGAATGCACCGTTTTACAGCGAAATGAATAGCTATTTGACAGATGTTTTTTACACAACTTCATGAAGCTGTGTGTAATTACTTGTTGACACCGTACGTTAAAATAATTAATAAATATAAACGATCGCATAAAATTATCGAGATCATATTTGAGCTCATGATAGCTGTGATACAATTCGGGCGAAGTGAGAAAGCAAATGTGTATTTTGATTTATAACTCTACTAACAGTAATTCTTCAAAGTATGATCATATCAACGAATTTACATTCAAAACACGTCGAAATCATGTAAAATAGACCGTAAAGGCCACCAAAGAGCTGGTTTTGCAACCCCCTTCATCGAGAAAGTCATGTAGGTGCACGTATCTCCTTACGATATTCCTCTCGTAATTCAATAATAGTGTTACGAAAAAAATAATTATTTTTTTCTACTATTTAAATATAATTTTTGGCACATGGAGTAAAAAAGGTTTTTTTATGTTGATAAAGTGAAAATGGTTATTTCTTACTCAAAATTTCATCAAAACATTGGAGACAACAAATTGACTCACTTCCACCTACTATAGCAGTGAAATAAAATTATAATTCATGAAGAGTAGTAATCAACGGAACTAATTGATAAAGAAGATAAAAATTGCACTAGTAGTATGTTCAGGAAAACGAGTGACGATAGGAGCGACGAGAGGATAAGGAAAGAGTGTGAAAATGAAAAATTGCAAAACAAATATTAGAAGAAGCGAAGAAAGCAATGGGAATTTTACTACTCCCTAGCAAAAGGAAAGGCAAATTTAAGAAAGTATGTAATGTTTATAAATCTTGGAAAGTAGAAACGTGAGTGGTGTCTGACTCAGAATGGGTTTGCTTGCATACTTTTCAGATAGGCGATATATAGAGAGGCGAGATAAATTGGCGTTTATATTGTTTCACATTGGTAATGTACGTATACGAAATATGTTTTACACGTATACATTTAACTATTTCTTGTTAAATCTTTTATATTGTTCCGTTTTTTAGCTAGCATTTAACCAACGTGTTTTTGATGTAATACATGCTAAAGAAGACATTATGTGTGAAATCCAATATTGATATTTTACATTAAAACTTTATAGAATTTAAAAAACAAACAAAGGCGTTGGCTAAAAGCATACTTCATTGGTAGAAATAACTGAAAATATTCTTGACGGAGGCGCCAAATATATTCTTACAAAGGTAAGTTTGGAGAATGATAATATATCTATATAATATTGGCAAATTATACAATATTGACTACGAGTATTGTCACATTTTCTAATTTAAGTTGGTGGTTGAAATTTAAATATTGAGTTTCTTATGAAGTAGTAACAATTAAATATATGTTCATAATGTTGCTTACTGATGTACTACTAAAATGTAATTAGCATTCTTATTGTACCAATTCTGATACAATTAAAGGATTATTATACTCTTTTTCTGAGTTCGGGTAGATAGTAGTGGTGTTTCGATTGCAGGAATGCAATTAATATAGAGATATTCAACTATTTTTTGTGGCATTAATGAGTTGTATATATAATTTATAATATGAAAATTTGTTTAATGCATTAGGAAATATAACTGTAGTTTACGAGTGTAAATATATTCACGATAAAAATGGTAAACGTATCTGTAGTAGAGTAAATAGTTGTGTGACGTAATATATAATAAGTGACTTGAATTATATCTCACGAAACGCCGTTTGCATTAGCACCTTCACTTCCATTCTATCTGAAAAAAGTGCTTCCACGGAACACTTAAGTGCGTTATCCAATAACACAGTGTGGGATGTCGCAAACTTCCTGGATTCTCGGTCGCTAAATCCAACCGCCGGCAAAACCTGATTTCCTACCGACCACTCCCTCTGGTCACTTTTTCATGCAGATGTATCAGAAGAACCATGTCATTTGCATTCCAATAGATGTAGGCCAGGTAGTTTCAAAATATACCGCCTTCGGCTTAAATTTGCAAGCATATTTTGACAGATGGCAATACTCGCATCTTTATTCAAAGTTGAGCCATGCTTCTTGATGGAAAATTACATGTTTGTCTTTATAAATTGTAGATTGTAAGTGAAAACAGTGATAAGTGACAAAAAAGGAGTTCAGAAATAATAAAGAATAACTGCTTCAAAAGCTCGCGGGACATGATGTGCAGTTTAGAGGCGACAATTTAAACCCCTATGATTGAGAGTATCAGATAGCCTATTTTACACCGCATTACACTTGACACCACGCCTTCAGTACAAAATGCAAATTTTCATATTTAGCTCTGGTTTTATTTATGCTCTACAATTGTAGAATTATTGTAATATAAATTTAGATAAAGATTCTTCACACTCTTTGTTTCTCTCATTGTCTAAACTAAGCATCCAGCAGGGTTGCGCATGGACGAGGGCTAGTGTACATTAGTGTGTGCTGGTGCCCTTGTGTGGACATGGGCTCGGGTACGGGGTGTTGGGGTGTTTGTGTGCTTGAGTCCTCGTGTGCTTGTGTACTGGTGAGCATGTATGCTCTTGGGTTTACCTACTCGTGTTCCTGTGTACTTGTGTACTTTTGTACTTGTACTATTCGTGTACTCATGAGCTAGTGTGTTCGCGTTTATGTATGGATATTTTTATGTGGACATATGCTTGGTGCTTGTGTGTTTCATGCTAGTGTGTTTCGTGTTGGTGCGTTTCGTGTTGGTGCGTCTCGTGTTGGTGCGTCTCGTTTTGGTGCGTCTCGTGTTGGTGCGTCTCGTGTTGGTGCGTCTCGTGTTGGTGCGTCTCGTGTTGCTGCGTCTCGTGTTGCTGCGTCTCGTGTTGCTGCGTCTCGTGTTGGTGAGTCTCGTGTTGCTGCGTCTCGTGTTGCTGCGTCTCGTGTTGCTGCGGTTCGTGTTTGCGTGTTTTGTGTTTGTGTGTTTGGTGTATGCGTGCTTGTATGTGCCCTGTTACGTGTAGTTGTTAAATTGGTGCTTGTTGCTTGTGTGCATGTGTGCTTGTGTGCATGTGTGCTTGTGTGCTTGTGTGCATGTGTGCTCGTGTGTTTGTGTGCATGTGTGCTTGTGTGCATGTATGCTTGCGTGCGCGCGTGCGTGCATGGGTGGGGGCGTGGCTCACCGTAGACCCATCCGACGAACTCCCCGGTGCGCAGGTTCTCCTGCCGCAGCCACTCCTCCAGCGGGCGGAAGAAGTCGCGCAGCGCCGAGCCGTTGAGGCGCGGCTGGCCCGTGGCCGCGTACAGCGCCTCCGACCACGGCGCCGACGACCCCGCCGCCATCAGGCGCCTGCCAACACGTTGCCGCTCACATCCGCACTCCATCGCGTTCACGACAAGAAATTGCACTCTACCACACAATTATAAAAGTATTGGAGACTTGGCATATAAAATATTTGTAATATAGTATTCTGGGTGAAAAATATTTGTGATCTTTATACGAATTATGAGGTTAAACATATGGGGAATTCGTTCAGTTAAATAGAAATCAATACGCACGACAAAATTAAGTATGTAACATCAGAGATACTTTTGTTTATTTATATACATTTTATCACTACAGCCGACTGAATTGTTGCTCTTTGCACTAGTAAAAAAGATTGCAATACCTTGTCAAAAGAACGATTTTCCTTGGTTCCGTTATTGAGATTAGGTATATAATATTTAAGACGATATTCGAAAATACAGGAGCTTTCTTAACAAATAATATTTGACATTTACAGAGAAAAAATACTCTATTGTAATTTGGTAATAATTTTAAATACATCCCTGCCTTTAAACAATATCATGTTCGCAAATGCTTTCAAACTAACCGTCAAATTCATAATAAATGCGTTTCGAACCCAAAAGAAAACAACAAAAAACCCTCACATTTAGTTGAGCATTCCTCATTCACCTCGTTTGTAACACCGTATCGTTCCTCCAATGGTTATGTTACCAAATGCAAAATATTTGACGACTTACATATTTCCAGTAGATGGTAGCTTTCGTATCAAACGAGAACCTCTCTTTAACACTTCTTATTCACCTATGTATTATGCGCTTATATTTCACTACAACTAATAATTATCATTATTATTGATTGATAGAAATTGATATAACATGAGGTCGAGTTTATTTTTTGAGGAAAGAAAAAAAAATTGCCTGTGTGATAGGTCAGAAAATAATTAATTTACTTTTGAAAATTTGGCAAATACCACTGGTGCTCTAGAAATTCCCCAAGAAATATATTAACACCTCCGCATATTTTGCCATCGCTTTCCAAACGCACTCGCGGTTTCACCTCTGCAAAGAGGCGATGGGGGTGGGGGAGGTGGAGGGGGGGGCGGACTCACTTGAGGATGTCGCCGGCGGCGGCGCTGCGGTAGATGTCGCACTGGTGCAGCGGGCGCGCGTCGGGCCTCAGGGGGTCCCACTGGCCCGCGGCGGTGCAAAGCGCGCGGTGCAGCTGGAACTGCAGCAGCCCGCCCACGAAGTACCTGCAGACACAGCACAGCGAATAAAAAATAAAATAAAAAAACAAAACTAGTGGTGCAGCTGAAGCACGTACTTTCTCATTGTTTCTAAATGCCCCGGAACATTATAGTAGGACATAAATCATCAAATGTGTTTTCAAGCAGCAAATTATTTTCCCGCTTCCGAGGAAGGAAAGACCTTTCCTTCATCTTTCCTTCACGTACGCGATCTTTCCTTCTTCTTCCTTGTCCTATCATCACAGTAACATGCACGACACTACCGCACATGCCGGGTGACAGGTCAAGGACCACACGGACAGTATTTCTAACACACAATGGTGACAGTATTTCTACCGAATACTTAGGCATTGGACAGCTTGCAGGTGACAAACCATAGTCGTACTACAACAACACACATTTTATAGGAATGAACATATGACATATCATCACTAACCTCACAATATATATTTTCTGGAATTATTTGTAAAGAATACTTTATAATATTGCAACTTGTAGCCAATCAACTGTTCAGCCATCTCGTGAAATGTAAGGGAAACCCTGGAAATTTGCAATTTTCGAAATTTTAGAAATGTTGATAAAATAATGAGACATGGCACATTAATAAGCGGAATTTGTTCTATTTCAGAGAAAAAAATATATCCATTGGAAAATGTTCTAGGGGTTTGATGAAAATTATTTCCAAAGATTAAAAGTCTTTTGAAAGTCGAGAGGCTGCGACATCATTCTGATAGATCAGGAACTATTCGTATTGATGTAAATCCCTTTTACGGGTTAGGAACGAGATTATTTGATGGATAGACCGACCGGCAGACATATTGAGAATAAAATCAAGCACCTACAAAAATTGGGTTCTGACTATACTAGTATGTATTAAAGAAAATAATTTACAATGAATAGAGGCATGTAAAAATAACTTGTAGAGTATGAGGGTTCCAAAAACATGTTTTTTTGTGATAACATTGGTACTTTTTCCTACAGCATTTAATAACTCTCTCTTTCCTCATGGCAGTAAACGAGGAAAAAACATCTCCCTGATTGGCCTAGATGAATCGAGCCCCTGTAGTTCTCGAAGATCTGTGAAATACAAAGCTGTGCTCGACCAGTCTTCACGATACCGAACGTAAGTTATGTAAATGGTACACTGTTACAAAACTAACTCTCCTGCCTCGTTCTCATCCCAGTCCGGTCCAGGAAATTTCCGTATCTTGGCAGCTATTTCTTACAGAGAAATACAAATTACCCTTCGACTACTTCGGTGCCTTTTATATTTCACCGAAACCTGTTTAAAAGGTCTTCGAATAACCTATTCATTTCCCTACCAAAGACAACATTATTAGTCGCTACTTCGACAACTACTTACTCAAGACTACTGCGAGGATTCACATATTACAATAAAACATGTTTAATTCAAAATCAAATTGAAAAAATAACATTCACTGAGATAAACCTTGAAATTTTAATCTTAGTTTTTTAAATAAGATACATATTTAATTAATCGTCTTTAATTTGGTGACCTAATGCTAAACAAAATCCTACGAAGTATTACTATATCATTGTAATAAAACTGATGATGCTCTGGGAGAATTTGATGAGAATAGTCTGAGTGCTGTTATAATAACATATTATTTATAATATGCTTTGCGTTCAATTAAAGTCGAAAAATACCGGCGCTCTTTGGGCATTGTAACAATCATTTTTTGACCAGAAAGGAATGGAGCGTAAACGGCGTTACGTCTACGGCGTAAAAAATATTTAAAAAAATATTATTGCCTTTTCCCCCACATCTTGTTCTCACTGCCTTTTCCCCCACATCTGCGTTCACTCTGCTCAGCTTTCACTGCGTTTCCCTCCGCCCTCAAAGCCTCTCCCCATGCACTCCCCGCTGTCCCTCCTCATCGTGCCCCGGCACGTGCCACCCCGTATCTCCCTGTCCTGACCTGCCCCGCCCTCCCATACCGTTTCTTGACTGCCTGTAATGCGTATTGTACTGAACCAAATTCAACCAAATTTTGTAAAATGCTACACATTTTTGAGAAATGCATAATTTATTGTTGAGAACACAATATCGTCACACTCGCACAAGCACCTTACATCAACTAGCACCTGGTGGTTAATGCCAACATTAGCGAAAGTGCGAATTAACTAGCTAATCTGCAAATTATTTTTCAGCTTTTAGCCGCAACATTTATACATAGTGAACATTCACACGTAATTACACATATTTTCGTTTCGGAATATTTATGCATATATATATATATATATATATATATATATATATATATATATATATATATATATTGTGTGTGTGTATTTCAACTCGTAAATTCAGATCATAATATACATATTTCCATAAGTTGTAGTATATATAACTGTGCACCTCGCTTACGCTATACCTGTGCGCGAACCTACGTAAATAAAGTATTTTTTAAACACCCAGATGGAGTCTGAAATGACCGCGTGACCTACTGCAAGAACACCGCGCCAGTCCCCTCTCAACCCAGTCGTGATCGCCCCAGAAGCACTGCATAAATCTGCCCCTCTCACCGGTAGCGCTGCGCTTTGATCTCCGCTAAGCGCTATCGCGTGTCGCCCGCTCTCCAACCCTTCACCTTTGCGTTGAGACGAACGGACGGCGGCGGCGGGCGAGGCATTCCCGCCAGCGCCCGAGCCACATGCGTGAGTGTGCGTGCGCGCGCGACGTCGCTTCGCGTCGCGTCGCGGGCGTTTGCGAAAGAGCGGCGAGTGCGTGGCGAGAAAGTGCTCTGCGAAACGGGTGCAACAGGCGCGCGGTGAGTGCGTAAACAGACGAGAAAGAAACGTTTCACGGGGTTGAAATAGAGCGTGCATATTTGGTTTGTATGCATCATTGGCTGTCGCGGTAAGCGTACACTTCGCGCTTTTCCAGGGTCGTTGTGCACCAGCTACCCCCGGGAGAGATGGCCTTGGGCACCAACTGATGTCTCTGACCGGGAGGTCCTAGGTTCGAGTCCCGACGGTGACAATATTGTTGACACTAGCTTGTCAGCTAGGTGAAATTCCACCGCTGAGGAGAATTCTAAAATCTGGCTGCTCTAATCGGTAGTATTCTGTGTTTTCCGATCAACACCAGGCGAATGCCGGAACCTTCTAACAAACGGGTCACAAACCGCGTGCATGTTTCCTTCTTTTTCTTTGTCCTATCTTCACCCCTTACTTTCACTGGTCGGGGGCTTATGGCTTGCCCCAGCTGAGGCGGTGCACCGCTGATGGGAGATACCTGGTTGGGGAAAACCCCGCTAGCCAACGGTAGGGTTGCGCCGGATCTCGCCCCCTCAGCGGGAGACGACCTCCGTCACCTCCCGAGCAAAAACATGAACTGCACTTACAGGAATAATGACCCCAGTAGTTGACGCGCCCGGAATCAGTAATAATCAATAAATCAAGCAAGCTACCGTTTCTGACGTCACAATCGCAACTGCTGGCAGCCGTGATTTAGGGCCAGTGTGTTATATACTAAAGGAGTGTTTGATATTATTTCCTCTTAAGTGAAACCTACACCTTCTTATGCAGTTATTTGATCTGAATGTTTAAGGTGTTAGTTTGAAGAGTGTCGTTAATTTGTATATGCTGACCGTAATTACGGTTCGGATAATAATTTTGTGCAAGAATTCAGCATTAACTACACGTACCACAATAATTATACTAGTATAATTCGTCATGCAAATAATCATTCATCAATTGATTACCTAGTATTGAAGTAAATCGAATTATATTGTAACCGATGGCGTTAGAGTTAAATAGAACTGAAATAATTGATTTAGTTTGGGTCTAATTCACAGCAGTTTGAATTCAATTACATGGAACAGAAGAGAATAAAAATGTTTCAGAATTATCAGGATGCAATTTAACAAATGCTATTAGGATTTTATCAAACTATATAAACATTGAAATTTAAATATTACTTGAATCTGTAACTTCATAATGTGCACATAAGTACAATGTCTACAGAAATTCCTCAAATATGCATATATAAAATGCATTTAAATTATTGAAACTTAGCAACACATTAGAAAAATCAGTGTTGAGAAATTCAGTCATTTGTGTTCATCTCGACCTTCCCCTGACATCATTTTCTTGCCCTTCTCTCTGGGTTCCGCCTCGAAGGACATTCCTGTGACAGATACCGAGCGCGGCGTCAATCGCCAAAACGTGGGGACAAACGCACGACTCCTCATTTCCAGCGAACGTCCAAACCAAGTCCACCAACCAGGACGAAACTTCAAAAGATGGGTCGAATTCATAACACATTATTTTATAGCTGTACCAAATTCGGAACGAGACTCATGAATGGGATGTGTGCAATATTGGGAAACTATATGTCCACTTTCTGTAGCACCGTGTAAAACATCTTGACTCTCCGAACCCATTCATGTAACTCCAAATACGACTACATACTTACGCTACTACTACGCACGCACGCACGCACATGCACACGTGAACTGTGTGTTAATTATCGCTCTAGTCAGTCTTTCGACTTCAGTCAAAGCTTTCGTAAAACAAAAATCTTGTTACCGACCGCGCTGACTTTTCCCAGCACCTCGCAGTTGAAATGGAAGCGATTGGAAAGTTTACAGCCCAAGCAAGAGTCACAAGGCGGCGGCGGCGGCGGCGGCGGCGCTCGCATTAGTGAAAGCAACCGACGCGACGAGCTGCGGGTCCATCGTCGCACCCTTCGCCTCCATTTCTCCGGCAGATCACGTAACAATCGCCTCGGCCCCCTTCGAGGATGAGCTCGTTACGTAAGAGCCTCGATCCAGATACTCCACAAACACCCGGGGGCGCTTTCGTGCGTTTTATGACGTTGGAAGGGCGCCATCCACCGCGTTTCGGCGATTCGGACTTTTCCTCTCTGCCTCTCCTTTGTTTTAACGTGAGCTAACCACCACTTGTATCTTCATAACCTATAGAAGTGTCTCTTAATTTCCTTCAACAGGTTTAGTTCGATCATATTGCACTGTAAGCC